ATAAAATTATGGCTAATCACATTACTCAGAGAAGAAAAGTGATGGTACCAAAGTGGCTAGGTCAACATGTAACATTTAAAAAGATGTCTATATTTTCAAAAAGTATTTTTCCTCACTGTTGGAATTATTTCACTTTTGTCTGAATGTATGAAAGCCCTGTGCATGTTAAGGAGTATCAGTCTGCTCAGTCATCCTACTGAAAAAGGCCTACATACCGGAATGACTATATAGATCACTCTTTAGTTAAATGGGCAGAAGGTATCTATGAAGGTATTTAACTATCTTTAGTTAAATGGGCAGAAGGTATCTACTAAAGCAAGTAAATAAAATGGAAACAATACAAAATTCTTGCATGTGCTACGCTATTACAAAACACCTGTAGAGGCAAAAATCCTAAAATACGTGAAATAGAAAGATGTCTTTGATAGCCTGACTTCCACCTCAAGAGTGAGTGTACTTCATGTACTAAAACTGTGTTTTTATAGATACATAAATCCATCAAATCTAAAACATATACATAATTACCCAAATACATAGATGCCCATCTGCATGTCTTCTCAGGCATGCGTACTCAGGGTGTAATGCAAGCTCTTTCACAAAAGCATTCTTTTTTTCTTCCTTTTTTCCCCCTACCAGCTTATGCTTTCCTAGTACAAAAAAAGACTTGCATCATGAATTTATAGATGATAAAACATACCAGACCTACCAAGGGATTACTCAACCAAATGTGATATATACAAGCTGTCAATTGACAACAAAGTAATAGGTATTGAGTAAAAACCTGAATAAAAATGTTATGGCCAAATCACCTTTAAGGGATTTCAGGTTTTTGGTTTAAATACTGTTGGTTGTTTTCTTTTTTCATTTATGTATTTAAAAAAAAAAAAGAAAATTAATACTTCTAAATCCCTGCCTTTCATTCCTCGTATGTCCTGTCACACCAAAGCAAACTAAAATCAAACCAACAGCTTCTAAGATATATAATCTAGACTCTAGGCCAAAGAGTGTTCCTCAGACTCTGGGCCCTGATGCCATCACACTGAAAGGAGGAGGCACAAAGCGACAAATGTCAGGAAGCTGACTGCCAACAACCCCACCAGCTGCAGCAGCTGAAGCTCTCCAAGGCAGGGGAGTCCCTTGTAGGGAGCTGCAGACACAAGAAGGCTGATGAACCAGAGGTGGCCCCCACATGCTGAAAGTCTGAGAAACACTCATCTAGGTCAAGTTTTCCTACACCTAGGCACCTTGGCAGACATGACTTTGTTCTCAGAAGTGCTGAATAAACAGAATTCTACGAAGTCATAATATTTCAATGGAGGGTGGTGCTTTTAATAATCCTAGGAAACTATAAACATGCCCCTTAGGCTAGCAGGAAAATGTTAATGTTTTCATGATTTTGTTTAGTGAATTTTTTCCCGCCCTTTGTCCTTCAGTGATTTGGTTGGTTTGGTCTCTTTTACTGTCCTACATACGAGTAGTCAGCACAGCTGTAATTGTGAGTTTGCTTTTCCTATAGTACCTGTTCCTGTGTACCCCTGCTGCAAGTTAAATACATGTGGGAGGGTCCCCAGGGTCTACTGGGTAAAACCATCATCTGTTCTGTGCCTGTATTTTTCTGTGATGTTTGCAGAACTCTACTTTCTGTGATTTGCTGTCTGAAAGATACTTAAATCCTGACAAAAACATGTAGCCCAGCAATGGGTGTATTCCGATAGTGCTCCGTAAATATTCGGCCGTTTCATTTCCACAGTGCGATGCTTCATCCAAGCTAGTGAACTCGTTTTTCTCGTGATCAAGGCTGTGGGGCAGATCATAACTTCTTATCTAAATGTGGAGCTGGTAGTGCTGTGAGCATATGACACAGGAACAATTCAAAACACTCTGTCAGCACTGACCTACCTTTGTTTCTGAGACTGAAAGGATGAACATACCCTTCTGTATCCCTGCTGCAGTTACAGCCTGATATTCTCCTACTGGAATCACACAGAAGCAAGATCAGGTGATAGGGTACCAGGTAGTTGTACACTCGAATAACTCTTTTTAAAAAGCTCTCTATCTCTATGGAAAATTCCTGTTTAACTGTAAGGAAATCTAGAAGCTTCTCTAGAAAGCACTGAAAAAAGCCCATTATGATCCTTCTCTAGGATCCTGAAACTGTTTTGCTACAGAATTTTATAGGGACAGAATTCTCTAACATACATATTTCAAATCGCCCAGACAGGAGACCTCGGATTCCACTATGGGACGTCTGTAGAGAAGGGCGTTAAAAAGTTCATTAGGAAAGATTAGTATTTGTCTTGTTAAGAGTAAAGGTTTTCATCATTCAGCATGCACTTGGATCTGCATCTGTTATATAAATAGAAGACACCTATTCATTTATTTTTTGTGTTCATAAATTAGAAGACATTATGCCATTAACTAGTAAGGACCCCCCCCCCCCCCCCCCTTTTGATTACAATTGGATAACCAGTATGTACTCAAAATACCTCTCCACAGTATTTTTGTTCTTATTACTGCAACACAGCCCTACCCTAGCCACAAGGTCAGAAGTCCTCCTGCCCCCTGCCCCAGCACTGCTATATGCAAAGTCTGATTCTGGAATAAACGCACAAGTAAAACAACTCCAGTTACGGCAAAGAGATTGAACAAGCCTTGTGAAGAACAGAACAAAGCAGGGATTAAAATCTTGGATGACTAAACCAACTTCACATGCTTCTAATGAATATTTTAGCTGAATGTATCAGCGCGGACAGAATAATCCGGTGGTATTCTAGTATGAGGCTGCAGGAACAGCTAACCTACCGACAGGCTGTTTCTAGCAAATCAGAGAGCTAAGACTTAATCTACATCATCTAGAAAGCATGTGTGCAGAAAATGTGTAATGCCAGATCTTACTATGAAAAAGATTAAGGCTGAAAAAGGATTAGAAATTAATTAAGGAGCTTCTTCATGTTTCCTGATATCCTTCTGATCTGTGACCAGGCTATCTTTAGAGTCTCTGCTACTGATGCCGCCGTTAGTGATAGTTCAAACCTACAAAGGACTCAAAACACTACAAAGGATTAGCATTGTGCTTTGGGAAGAGCTGTAGTTTGGTGGCTTGGGGTTTATTTTCCAGTTCCCCACTTTTAGATCTATTTAAGGGATCAGTGGGAGAGCTGCAGCCTAGGAGCTCGACTTTCCGGGCTCACGCTACCACGAGCAGTTGTCCTTCAGCAGTGGGCAGGTGTGGGACCTTGCACCAGGGAGTCAGCAAAGCACCTTTCGGAGGTGGCAGCAGAGCTCTGAAACCGCCCCAGCTAAGGGAGAGGGCAGTGGTCAGAACCGTGAGCTGGCTCATGAAACGGCCGGAAGGTACGAGCTCTTCTCTGATCCGTTTTCCAAAGTTAAGCAAAATTAATCCTGGGCTCAGTTTTGGATGGTTTAGCAGCCTACAGTACAGCCACAGCATCCAACAACAAGAAGTTACGCGCTGACATAAAACCCGCTGCATCTTAGGAAGTTTCATTCAGGCTTTGCCGTGTGCTCACTGAAAGTTTTAATCCGTATGTGCTCCCCTCACAGGTTAAGAGTATGCAACAGAGAAGAATTAATTCTGATTGATATTAATTAATTCTCGTTATTAATATTTTAAAATTAATTATGGTATTTACTATGCAGACAGTTTTTCATCTATGCCCTGGGTTGTCTCCATTTTCTGGAACTTGATCATACTCTAAAATTTAGCCTTCACCCCAGTGAGGCAGAACGATTATTATTTTGTTTGGAATTCATGGCTTAACTTCCACACAAATGGAATTAATACTGTGTGACTGTATGAGATACTTTATAAACAGGGCCCTCGAGCTTGTTTCAGTGAAAATGAAATGTGTTTTATAACCTTTGTGAATACACAGCTATGAGCAGTTTCTGAAGTAGAGAGGGCATCTTATGCACTGACAGCATTTATGAAAGCAAGTGGTGATAAAAGAGCAGTAAACAATTTTTAGAGAAAGATGAGACAGTTTGGTTTCAAATGAGAACTCTAGAAATGAGCAAGGAAAAGCTGACTTGTCAAGCAGAAGGACTTTTACTGATTGTGTGTATTCTAGCACAAACAAACAACACTTCCCTGCAGCCCCCCTAAACTCATGACACTGATAAATTAGACAAAAACAAAGTCCTGAATGCTAAATAGTTGCTTCTCAAAATGTTAATGGTATCTGAAAATTACTATTATTATTCTGAGACGCAACATGATTCAACATGATTATCTGAGATAAAATCAAAGCGTTCACTCTTCTTACAAAATTTCAATGTATGAGTAATTCCATAGAGCTGTCAGGCTCAGCTATGTGGCATTTAGTACATTCCCTTTTCACAGGAGGACCCTATCCTCTCTCCCTTCTCAGAAATTGCTTAGATTTCCATTTTCCGCCGCAGGTTACCACATTTCCATATTGCTGTGGGCTGGTTTAGCGGAGCTGAAAATTTCTTCTATTCCCATTTCTCTGTCGCGGTTTGGGGGATAAAGCAGGACACTTAGAATCATAGAATCATGGAACAGTTTCAGCTGGAAGAGACCTTGAAGATCATCCAGCCCAGCCTTTGTCCCAGCCCTATCAACCTACTAAACTGTGTCCCCCAAGGCAAATCTGGTCGTCTCTTAAACACTTCCAGAGACGGTGACTCAAGCCCCTCCAATGGCTGACAACCCTTGCAGTAAAGAAATTCTTCCTCATACTCAACCTGCACCTCCCCTGGCACAATTTAAATCCATTCCCCCTCATCCTGTCACTCTCCACTAAGGAGAAGAGACCAACTCCCGCCGCTCTACAACCTCCCTTCAGGCAGTTGTAGAGAGCGATGAGGTCTCCCCTCAGTCTCCTCTTCTCCAGGCTAAACAGCCCCAGATCCCTCAGCCTTTCCTCATACGACCTGTGGTCTAAGCCCTTTCCCAGCTTGGCAGCCGCCTCCGTACCCTCTCCAGCACCTCAATGTCTTCTCTGCATCATACCAACACGTCCATCAGATCCCACAAGGTCCTCGTGCTCTCTGCCCTCCGCCTTGCTCGCTGTCGCCAACACACGCAGACACCGGCTCCGGCTCTGAACATCGACACCGAAGCCTTCGGGCTGGGTTTTCACGAGGTGTCGGTGCCAGACTCGCTGCTTCCACCGAAACCGCGGCATTTCGGTGAAACAAAATGAGATCAGCTGCGAGCACGTCGCCCCTGCCTGATGTTCTCAAACCAAGAACCTGGAGCTGCTGCTGACAGAGGCAGCCCTAGAGCCGCAAACACCAGGATCCCGCTGGCCGCTAATTGGCCCTGGCGAGCTCATTCTAGGAAGTTGTTTAAAAACCGTCTCTGCCGAGACCTGCAGCCATGGATTCGCACTGGCTCTGACACGCAGGAGGTCTGTTTGCAAGCTACTGTCAAATTATGGTGTTTTTTTTGCTGAAAGCCCCAGTATATAAGGTATTTGCAGTCTCTGCAATCTGCTGGATTGACAACCAGTGAATTTCCTCTTCATTGTTCTAAAGCAAAATCCCATTTACGGCAAAACTGGTCATTTCACAGAATCCATGTGCTTTTAAAAAGAGAAAGTTTTGCTTACTACTAGAAATATATGGGAATGATAACTTCAGGGAATATTTAACAATACCTGCAAAATACAGGAAAGGATTCAAGTGTAGTATCAGTACCACATTTAAATCCCTATGAACTTTTGCGTTATGGAAAATACACTCAGCAGCTGTTCCTCTTTGTTTTCTGACATTAAATGAGTAATTATTGTGTGGTATGTGTGTGCAAGTATTTATTTATTGCCTTTATGATTCTATTTTTACCACTACAGCTATGAGCTCCTCTAAGTCTTCTAACAGTTATGTAAAAATGCCATTTGCAAACCCTAAATTGCACATTTCTTCTACATGCGGCACACCCGACCTCATGTTTTTACACATACGTGTAGGTGGACTGCATCTAAGTATTTATACTACAAGTAGTAAACCGGTTTGTAAGAATTACCACATAAGCATCAGGTGAAACACAGCACAGATTAAAGGGGCCTCATTAAAATGTATTTATCAAGTAACTTTTGCCAACTAGAATGGACTCAAGGAAGCTTCTTGCCATTTATTTAGATGGAGCCTGGTGTTCTTTTTATCGATGTCAATGGGAAACTGCGTGATGCTTCTCTCACGTTGGATTTACTGTAGTATAAATCCACTGGCTGCAGTATAGCTGCTTCTGATTTGCACTGTTGTGAGAGGAGAATTGGATCTAGACTTTATAGCTGAGGATTTGTAAGTGATTGTTGGAAAAATGAAGTATTCAACATGCACAGGGAAGGATGCCTTGCGATGATAAGTAGTCATTCTGTATGTATAGTTCACTTGGCTTTCTGCTTCAAATACTCAGCCAATGAAAACTTACAGCAGAGTGCATATAAATCAGGCTTATGAGATATTAAATCAGGTTTAGGGTTAATTTTCAACTTACACTAACTAACATGGCTGAAAAATGTTGGTTATATTTACTTGTGCAATTCAAGTGGCTACTCACCCTGTGTTAGCATTTGTGCATACAAGATAGAAATTTAAGCAAATGCATTTGCCTGAAAGCTATGGAGGTCACCTGGCAATTTGCTCCACATACCTACAGTGTTATTTGAAATAAAATACTTAACTGTGTCCAAATATTTTGTTCTTTTAAATTCAAAATTCCTTAGTGTTTGTTTTGGGGTTTTTTTTTGATAAAATTGAAAACTATCTCCTGGCAGTATAGGAGATCTAAGGATTACTGGGAATTTTGCAGACCTGCACAATGTTTAAGATTTCACAACAAGCTAATTAACATGCAGGTTATCCTGAAAAAAAATAAATCCAGGTTTTGGACTCAAAACCATGGCAAGAAGAGCTGGAATTAGGCTATTTCTGCTGGGGAAAGAAGCATCACCCTACCCCAAGTTCATCTGAAATTTTTGGCTCTGAGCAAAGCTTACGATTTTGTTTGGCTTTGACAGAAAGACCTCTTCAGATAGATTGAAATGTCATAATGTCATCTCAGTAACAAAAGGTCATTTAAGGCAAATAGCAGCAACTCTTCTAGTGCCATCCTGTTTGTGGGTAATACACACATCAGCCAAGGTCTGGGTAAAATGCTCCTTGTAGGACATCACAAAACACAGAACTTAATGCCCTGAAAGTACCTCTTTGTGAGTGTTGAGGAGGAGGATAAGCCTTCATCTGTTGCCTGGTCAATGATGTCTTGAAGTGAGTTAAGTCTGAAAGCCAGATCTTTAGATTTTGAGGAAGTACTACCCATGTGAATAAATTTATATGCAAGTTAAGATGTAATGCAGCTACTATTCATAGCTTAAGATGTGTACTCCTGCGTAACCACAGGTACGAACTGCACTGACGGTTAAGTTAGCTTCATGTTGGGAGAAATCCGTAACCAGAGGGGAGGTGCACCAGGTGGAGTAAGGTATTCACAGGAAACAACTCAGTCAGGCATCACTTAATCAAAATTTGGCACAGCAAGCTTATTCACAGTTTGATTTCCCTTTGCCTAATACTCCTCTGCCTTCTGTGCCCTGCCAAATTTAGAGCTCTTAAAAACCAGTTTTCTCCTCCTGTTTAGTTTCTTTTGGACCCCTACCATTTTATAGTCCTAATGTATAACCTACAAACATATATGTGTGTGTGTGTCTGTACATTAATATGGAAGTCTTGGTTTTTTACATATATTACATATATGAAAGACTTTGCTAATTTAATCAAATTGCTTCCTTTATCTGAAAACTATGTAACATAGATTTATTTTTAATTGGTAGGGAAACTAAATACAAAGCAGATCATGGTTTAAGAGGGGCTGTATCTGTGTAACAAAATTGGTTTACTGTTAAGTAAACTGGTACAAACTGTATTATAGACAGAAACCTCGGACATGGAGTTCTGCTAGTGTCAGTGGGAGCTGGGGAAGTTTCAAGGCAGGTCTTTTTCACTGAAATGATAACAGCAGAGGCACATATCATTTATTTTATTTATCAAGGGAGATTTTAAAAGGCCTGATCACTCAGAAAATGCAGGCCCTTGTCCTCAGCTGTACTGAATAAAATAAGCCTTCACTGAGCTGGAGCATCATGGTATAGATATCTGAAGATTCCCCCCAAATGACCGCAAACCTTTCAAAAGCTGGCAGCTAACAACACACTGCTCTCTAAGGCAGAACATTTGTGTTTGGATTCCCACATGGTCTTTTCCTACCCGTTCCCTTATTCAGGGTATATTTTGAACTGCGAGGGACTTAAATGGCAGCAATATTCACAAGACAGCTCTCTCTACATCAATAGAGATAGTGCTACTGGGCTATCTTTTCAAACCCTGGGAGACATCGCAACAGCATCTCTGTCTTGCCTTGTTCCAGGCAGCTGAAAGGAGGAACGCAGCTAAAAAAAGTCAAAGAATCAGAATTTTACTACTGAGCAAATGGTATTAGTCATCGAGTGTGGCACAGTACGCATTGTCAGAGACCTTGAGGATATTACCTCTGCTCCTGAACACTCATATGATCTCAGTAACCAGTACATGTACCGAGGTCTTCTATCTACAAGCATACTGATAAGTCAAGGTGACATGCCTCGTGTCGGAAAGACTCCCCTCCGCCGACTGTGGAGGAAGAATTCACTAACGATCTGAGCAGCTGCAGTGAGGTTCATATGTCTAAAAACTTAAGAAACACGTGCTTAAAACAGCCACGTGGGAATGCGTGTAATAGCAGTGATGTGGGGCAGAACTGAAGGATTTTAAGGAAATGCTGCTTTTTCGCACAGTGCAGAGGTGAAGCCTCTAAGATCACTCTGTGCATCAACCTGGCGCTTTTGGGGTGTGTGTCCACTGGAGCCTCAGCCATTGAAGTCCAGCACCCAGCAGGGAAAAGAGGTGGAAGGTGGCTCCTCTTCTATTTCTGGAGGAATTCTTCCCTTCCTGCCCATCTCTAACTCTGTAGAACACCCTGTTAACGTGTGCTGGACCAACAGTGACAGATAAGATCACCAGTCATAACAATTATTTGGATCACTTTCTTCCCCAATTGTAAAATGATACTGCAGAGCAAAAGACATTTGGTAGATGACTTAAAATTGGAATGAAGCTAATGCCTTTTATGCTACAGAACTTGTATAGAATGGTCAGGTACATCTGACAGCTTGTAAAGATACCATATTGTGCTTATATACTCCCTAGGCAACAAATCATAATAATCTGGAAGATACTCTGGAAGTGGCTAAGCAACAGAAAAGAACTGAGCACATTTACTATATGCCTAACTGCATTGCAGCAATTGAATTTCCCTAAATCAAGAGGAAAAATTAAATTAATGGAGCAATAGTTTGACAAGTTTGGCTTCAGTTAGTAGGCATAAGCAAAATCATTACTTAAGCATATTGTTAATTATGTTTAAATCAAGAATAAATTGAGTGATAGCTGTTAATTAGGCTTGTATGCATGAGAACATAAGCTGTAGCATTGCAGCAGGCTATAAGGACGTGTGTTTGCACAACACTTAGACGTGCAAGATGTGGGTGAGGGAAGAGGGAGTGCTTGTGGGGGTGCACGCCTGGAGGCTGGGAAGCCCTTCCTGCTTTGCTCCAGGTCCAAGTTGTTTTGTCGTTTCATATAGATGAATGAACAGAGGTTCTAATTCTGCCATCAGTTCACCTCGGGCCACTGATCCCACCCATCTTTCAGTGAGGCGTGCCAGTGAGGACACACGCAAGGTGGTTCACAATCTTTATGAAGTGCAGACTTCATGCAGACTGTGATAGCCAGGGTCAAGGATCTTGGTTCCACGGGAGCTGATGGCCCAGTAACTGGGAGGAGGGATGGGTCATGGAGGGTAGAATCTGCTAAATATGGTGGAACCTTAAATATGTTGCATCCTGCTGACCATAGTAAAAGGCCTTATAGGTGGCATAAAATCTCCTGAATAGTAAAAGGCCACGTAGGACAGCATAAAATTTCTTGAAAAAGGAAAAATACTTGGGTCTGAAGAAATACGAGTCAACTCACATGAAGTAGCTTTGTATCTTTGGTGGGTTTTCTAACCTTTAAGTCACCCTCAAATGCACACGTGTCCACACAAATGCATGTTCATAAACAGTCTAGGAAAGGAAGGAACTTGCTT